AGCCTCAGCTGTTGCTTCATTTCCTTCCTGCGCCTCTGCTGTGCGTGTGTGTTTGTCTGCGTGCCCCCACGCGCTTCTCCCTTCTCCCTCTTTGCGTTGCGTGTCTGCAGGCACACACACACACACACGACCGACGTGCATGCGATGCGCCTGTGGTGCCGTGCAGGTGGATGGCCTTTTCGCAGCCTGCGCTGGCAGTGCCGTGTGGTGCTGCTGCTGCGGTTTCCTCGCGGGACGTGAAGAGAAGGGAAGGAAAACGCACAGCAGGAGCGAGAGTGCGCTGTGACTAACTCGTTTTCCTTGCGGGAGCCGCCTCATTTGGGTGGTGGCTGCGGGCCCACTTCCCGTGTGCATGTGCGTGTGGGGGCGGCTGCGCTTCGCTGCTCCGTCGTGGGTGTCTGCCGGCGTTGTGGTGGGCCAGCGGAATGCGGCGGTGTGGGAGTGACGGCGCGGGTGGTCGTGGCTCGCTGCGGAGCCGTCTTGCTTTGTGGTGGGGACCGTTGAGCCCCAGTGCAAGCGAAGGCGACGCGGAGATGTTGCGCTTCGCCGAGCTACTGCCTGTATTTTGAAGCGCGCTCGTCACACGCCGCCGACTCTCGCGGCTGCGCGGCTGCAGTGGCCGTGTGGCTTCTCCCGCGCGTGGGGGTGGGGAGGCGCCTCAGCCACGGGCCGCGGGAGGCACCGCCCTGCAGTCCCTCCCCGCCTGCGATGTTCCCCCCTCCTTTTTTGTTTTTCTCGCACCTATTGCCGGCTCGTTTCTGCTGCGCGGGGCACCTCCCACTGCCTGTGGCATTGCTGTGTGTTGCCTTCTCGCCCTCTACCCACTTGTTTTTTTTCCTTTGGCCGGTTGCTGCCGCTCCCAAGCACAATATAAACCGCAGCACGGCAAAAGGAGGAACCGTTAGGCTTCCAGCGATGAGGTTTTGGCAGAGTCAGACGAGGGAGGTGGAGCGCCGCAAGGCCGCCGGGCTGCCTGCCGTGGACGAGATGCGGCGCTTCCGCATGCTTGTGTGCTGCCTGTTCTGCAGCATTTGCACCTCCCTTGTCTACGCCTTTGACCTCTTCACGACGCAGTTCGTGGAGCGCTTTCACCTCGGCGTCGGCGACCAGGCCGCGATCAGCGCGGTGTGGGGCTGGTGTTCTGCTACTTCACGCTGCCGTACGGCTTCCTGTTCGACTACGCCGGCCCCTTTCCCCTGACACTCGTCTGCCTTGTCACTGGCGGGCTCGGGGCGCTGCTGCTTGGCCTGGCGTTCGATGGGTTCGTCCCGGGAAACGTGGCCAACTTCTCCGTGTTCTACGCCATGATGAGCACCTGCGCCGGCCTCATTGAAACCTCCTACATTTTGACCCTAGTGGAGGCCTTCCCGCGCAACCTCGGCCCCGTCGTTGCCCTTGCGAAGGTGCTGACCGGGCTTGGCTCCTCCGT